GACAGAGACCAGAAACTTCAGGATCTCTACCAAGCATTTATAAACCTCAACTACCCACCCGGAGAAATAAAAATGCAAATTGAAAGAGCCAAACGAATAGCTAGACACCATCTACTACAAGACAGACCCAAGAAAACCAACAACAGAACACCACTTATCATCACCTACAGCTCCCAACTTATACCTGTCCAACAAATTATCAATAGATTACAGCCTATACTGGAACAGGACACTAAACTTAAAGCAGAATTGTTATCCACTTTGGGTCTGTAAATTCTCTTTATGGTTCCCCCTTCCTGAATGAATGCATGGTGTGTGTGGGAAACTACTCAAACATGCAGTGGGTGATGAACTTATACTTACCTAAACTTGAGTGCACATCCAGAAATATAATTTATGCTATCATGTGCCGAAAGTGTCCGTCTGCTATGTACATTGGACAAACGTCTCAGACACTTCGCCAAAGAATCAATGCCCACAAAACAGATATTAGACAGGATCACAAAGAAAAAACAGTTGCTTGTCATTTCAACCAGAAAGGACACTGTCTCAATGACCTAATCACATGCATCCTACTTCAGAAGACTTTCAAATCTGCACTTGAAAGGGAATCCTCTGAACTGGCATTCATGCTAAAATTCTCCGCGGGGGAATTAACAAAGACTCCAACTATCTTACCCATTACAAAGATAGCTTCCCCAATTATCACCTCTAATACTATTAACTCACAGACATTTCCCCTTCCCCACCTCTAATATCATTAACTCACTGGCATTCACCTTCCTTCCCCCCCCCACACACACATCCCCCTTCTGTTCTGCAATGTGATTTGTCCTTTTCATGTGTGTTCATTTTTTTTTTAATTGTATCCTTTGGTATATATGGTTGTGACTATTTTCTTCCATTATTTGATCTGAGGAAGTGGGTCTGGCCCACGAAAGCTCATCATCTAATAAACCATCTTGTTAGTCTTTAAAGTGCTACATAGTCCTGTATTTTGTTTCAGCTACACCAGACTAACACGGCTACATCTCTATCACCTTAATTGTTAGTAACTCTTTACCGTACCTTTAGATTTTCTGGTTTAATTCCTGATTTTAATTGTTTGTTGCTGCTGCTGCTGTTGTTTTCTGACTTCGCCACACACATTCAACAGAAGGTAAACCTAAAATCTATTGCATCATTTATGATTTTAACAATTGCTTACCTGTGCATCATTACAGCTTCTAGAGATTTATGATGATGGGGAAACAGTTGGGTCTACCCAAAGGGCACGGCAAGCATGCTTCCCCCGAAGGGCTATGTAATGTACAGCTTGAAATGTTAGCTTGCTCTAAAAGTTGGTCCATGGCATTTACGCAAGCATGGTTTTTCCAGTGCATGTGTCACACAAGTAATATCTGATGGTTCTCAGTTTTCATGTTTGCTGCTGGCATGTTTTTGAGATGGCTTTGTATCAAAAGAGATTAGTTCTGTGAGACTATTAGCAGCATGTGTGTGAGATCATCTGAAAAATTCATGTGAAATGAAAAATGATTGCTTGCTTCCTGCCATATGACTTGTCTGCCCTTTGATCAGTGTTTTTTTCTTCTCTTTGAGCACTACCAGTGCCCTGTGAAACCAAGAGAGGGACTGAGCCAGGAAAAATGAATGAAGATTCCCTCAGTAGTGCCCTATGCATATGTCCTATCTTTAGTTTGATCCGTCAGTACCAGTGGTAAAGAATTGCCACATGTTGACCTTGTTCCCACACGTAGTAGCAGATAATGCCTTAAATAGTGGTGACTTTTAAGTTGAACATTTTTACATGCAGACCTTCACCTGAGGGGCAATGAGCCTTATATATTTGATTCCTTAGCAACACTGGCCCATCAGCAATGCAGAGCCAAAGCAGCACCCTTTTGTGTTAGTGCCAGTAACAGGCTTATCTGGAGGAATCTTATCAAGATTCTGCTCACAATAGGCTTCTTTACTTGGCTGATGTCAATGCACACAGTTTGTATGAAATGAGTTGGACATGTCTGTTAGATATCTAGCCTGTTGCTACTTGTATTTCCAAAGAATGTCATAGTTTTGCTCCCCGCCCCCATTGTAATTGTTGCACGGGACAGCGACATCCATTTTAAAACACATGGTGCTTTAGAAAGGGGATGATTGTTGGGCTAGCAGACTACATCATTCTGGTACAGTTCCAGTACAAGAACATCTTGTTGCACAGACTGTTTCACTGATCATGGTGCACACTCATCGAATTTGATAAGGCAACCAGTGAACATTTCTTGTTGGCTATACTTAGCTAATTGCTAATGTAATGTTCCTATTTCTCGGGAATAAGAGAATACATGCTGCTTTAAAGATGATTCATTCATAGGTAGAAGGGCTCAAGTTTCCCTGTTCTGTGTGTGTTTCTGAGGCAATGCAAGTTATCTATGTAGAAGCATTATCTGTAGTTGTCTGAGTAGTTACTGTTGTTTCAAGTGGCTGTTATACCAGAGTTACATGTTGTAGTCATTGTAATTTAGTTACTGTGAGGGAGGAAGGGTACCAGAGTTAGGTTCAGAGATTGTTTGGGAAGACCGTTCAGGTTTTTTCACCATTCTTGTTGATTGCCAGATAGTGAGTCTTCAGCCAAATAAATCCATCCTCCTTCTAGCTGGTGGGTGTGTTTCAAAGCTTTCAGACCGGCATGCTCTAATCAGCCTGTTGGGCCATTTGGTTTCCTTTCTGCTTCTCGGCTAGTTACACATGACTAGGTTGTTGGAGGAGGTTTTCCTGTTTTGTTCTAGCATCCAAGCTGCCCTATACAACAGCATATTGGTACTGAGCAAACATCTGGAGCAGAGTGTCATGGGGAACGCCTGCTGGTCAAGTGTGCTACTGCTGGCACTGCCTACCTCAGTTTTCCTTCACCCAGGTTTTGCCTGTCCCTGAGATTCCCATGGCTCAGCCCCTTCATCTGGGTTACTTTGAATCTAATCCCCCCTCTGAGGAAACCAATTCAAACAAAAAGCACTTTTTCCCTACTTGAGCTCCTCAGCCTGTCCCAAGCTTAGTCCTCAGATGCTTTTCTGGGATAGAGCCCTGATTTCCCGGCTCCCTCCCTGGAATTCCCTCAGTCTTCTGTGGGCATCACTCAGCTTCTTCCTTAGACATCTGCCTGCTGTCTATGGCTTCACACTCAACCTGAGTCCTTAGCCCTTTTAATGAAATCATCTAGCTATTCTGGACCAGCTCAGGGCAGCCCTAGGCCACTCCAGAACCTACCCCACCTCCCTACCTTCAGAACATGCCTTATCCTGCCTTTCTACTACCATTGCCTACTCCATCCCTAAGGAAACTGGTATTGGAGGGAAGTGAACTTAAGCCTACCACCCTGTGCTCCCCAGGCAAATGCCCTATCTGCTAGGCCATTCCAGAACTCACCCCACCTCCCTATCTTCAGGGCATCCCATATGCTGCCTTACTGATGCAGGAGCCAGCTCCATCTCTTGGGCAACTGGAGTTGGTCACTCCCACCAGCTGCCTCTCTGGGATAGCGAATGTGACAGATATGCCTGAGCCCAATTACACTTAAAGGGATTGCCAGCACATGACTGTGTCAGACTGTCTGAGCTGGTTCTATGCATAAGACCCTATTGCTGGTTCTATGCATAAGACTCAAGGCAATCCAGGATTTGATGCCACGAGACCCACAAATCCGAGCTATTTTATCATTAAATCGTCACACATTTGCACACCTCACATTGTTCGTACATGTATGTGCTCTGTCTTTAGTCTCTTCCATCTCCCACTACCAAAAGGAAAGAAAACTGCTTACAGAAAATGAGCTAGGATTTTAACCCTCTCTTACATACTTAAAAAAGATAAAACCTCTCCTTCTTTGTACTTCAGCATCTGTACTCTGCTATTTCCATTGGAGGATCTTAAGACACACTATAAATAATTAAGCCTAAAACCTGTGTGAGGTAGACTAGTACAGTTATACCCATTTCTAGATTAGATGGTTTGTTCACTGTGTCAAGGCCACATAGCCACTCAGGGGTAGGAAAAAGAACCAATACTCTCTCTCAGATCCGTGCACTACCCTTTAGACAGCATTTCTTTCCTTCTAGAACACTCGCCCCCTGATTCTGAGATGCAACTTCTTTTTTCCTACTTCCCCACAGTTTAAGATGCTGTCAGAGTTATTTCAGGATGACGAGAAGGCTTTTAGTCCCACCTCAGCAACCCCTTCAGGTCGCACGCTGCTGACTCGCACTGCTGTCAAACCAGCCAAAGCCAGACCAGGCCACGCAAGCAAGGAGCATAAGAAAACTGTGGGACACCAGGTGAGTTGAACCAAGGACTGTTTCCATTAGAATAGTCTCCTCCTTTCCCCCACAGTGTCTTATTGGTCTCATACTGTGCAGCTGTTTCTTGTGATCACTGCTCAGGAGTGTCGATACATATGGAGAGGTCAGAATATGGCTCTCAGCAGCAGGTTTGGCTTATCCCACTATCTTTTATTTTCCTTTTTAAGTGTTGTGGAATGTTTAACATCCATCTCCAATGCCAACAAATGGGCTGTAGGACTTTGATTAAGGATGGGAGACTAGGATTGCTAGAAGATTGATAGAAATCTTCAACAAAAACTGGGCAATCCATGAAAGACATTTAGGCCATTTTGAAGCATGTATGTTGTTGGGTTTTTTATTTTTTGTTTTTGGAAGACCTGCTTTCCCAGCCTTGCATGGCCATATATATATATCACGACCATAAAGCAAATCTCCTGGCCCATCACCTTCCACTTATCACCAGTTATAAAGTCAGATTAAATGAATGTCTTGCACTGTGACATAAAACTCGCCAAAATTAGGCTTTAGCAAATGCTCTTTCAGAGAAAGTCCTGCCGCTCACTCACTGGGAATCTAAATACTTTCAGTAATTGAGCACAGGATAAAAGCACAGGCACTCACTTAGGCCATGTCTACACTAAGAAGAAGATTGACCCTCCAGAGGTCGATCTTCTCGCATTCGATTTAGTGGGTCTAATTGTAGACCCCTAAATTGAACAATGAGGGAAGGCCCTGCTGGCATTTGGTACTTCTCATTCTGTGAGAAGTAAGGGATGCCAACAGGAGCATGTGCACCCATTGGCCTCCCACAGAATAGACACTATGGCAGCTTGACTTAAGGCAAATTGAATCCAGCTAGGCATTTTACATAGTTGGATGGTGTACCTTAAGCCAACCTGCCTGGTCTAATATAGGCTTTAGTGTTTTATAGATGATTGCTAACACTTTAAATTGTGCACAGGAGCAAAAGCCAAAACAAAACAAAAAGACTGCCCCATTGCCCCTTTAAAAGGAACCACCGGTCACATTTGGTCAAATAAAAAAAAATTAAAATTAAAAAAAAAAAGCTCTGTCTCTTCTAGAAAATGTGTTTATAGGTTTTTTGGCCACATCAGGCTCCCGCCGGCCGACGCTATCTTTAATTCACCATCTTTAATGGCCCTGCCAGATGGCTCCCCTGGCCAGGTCAGCACAGGGAGCCGGGAAGTATGGTTGCCAGGTGTCCGGTATTGAACCGGATAGTCTGGTATTTTCGCCTCCTGTCCGGTTAAAAAAAAAATTAGAAAATACCGGACACCTAAAATGTCTGGGTAGTTTTGGATTTTTTTTCCTAGCCAGGAGGCAAAAATCCTGAGTGCTTACCGGGTTCCTTGCCAGGTATCCGGTATTGACCCATACACTCCGGTATTTTTTCCTCCTGTCGGTAAAAAAATTCAGAAAATGCCGGACACCTAAAATGTCCGGTATTTTCTGATTTTTTTTTCCCGGCCAGGAGGCGAAAATACGGGGTGCTTAACTGGTCCTGCAGGGGAGCTTTCCAGTCCAAAGCAGGGGGACAACATGGCGGCTGGCTGCTGGCAGCCTGTTAGGGCCAAAAAGCCTCAAAAGCTTTTCTTAAAGAGGCCACGCTGGTTTTTTTATTTTACTTAAAAAAAATTTGTTTTGCTTAACTTTCAGGGTCCTTTTTTCCCCTCAATAACTTTGGTCTTCTCCTTTTTTTTCTCAACAGAATTTTTCCCTGGTGGTTTTTTTGGGGGAAGGGGGTGGGGATTTCAGTATTTTTGTTTAAACCATCTAGCAACCCTACTTGGAGGAGAGGGCCATTTTTGGGGATGTGGAGGCGGCTTTACAAGCTATGGGGTGGAGGGGTGGGGGGCTTCGCAAGCCACACCCTGGGGGGGAAGAGCCGCATGCAGCTTGCGAGCTGCAGGTTGGCCACAGCTGATTTGGAGCCTTAGTGTACATCCTCGTAAGCCTCCACTACTCAATGAATAGCCACATTCTGCACTGGATGAAACATCTGAGTGACTTCCAGGAATAATTCCAGGTAAAGCACATTCCTGTTGTCTAGCTTTCAGGTGTATCACACACCAAGTGATAAGCTTAGTATTGGTATATGGTGCCTACATAAGGATGGGGATCTGTGACAAGGTCCTTATTAAAAAAGCAGAGCTGCACCCCTTGTGGCCAGCCAGAGAAGATTCAAAGCATTCAAAGCCACTGTGTTTCTTGGGAATCGTGGATTAGTGTTGGATCCTACAAGTCCCTAATATTGCAAAAGCTGTGAAACAACAGGTTGGCATACATCCAAAAGAGTGAATAGTAACCAACCACCTTTCAGTGGCTACTTATCTTTCCTCCTGGAATGATCTGTTTTACACCTGTTTCATCTGGACTGGTTTTACACCAGCTGAACAAAAGTGAGTTTTGTGCTATTTTAACATGCCTGTTCAGGTTGTTGCTGATTTCAGAGACAGCATGCAAATCTGGGTGCTAGAATGTATGCGGCCAGTGTAAAGGTATAATAGAATGTATTATATTTTTAGTATTTAACCTCACATTTAGGTTCATCTTTGCACAGAAAATAGAATGGAGTCAGAGATTCAAAATTCAACCCTTCAACTCCTGCCACTTGTGTGGCTGCATTTGTCATAGGCAACTCAAGAATTTGTGTATTGAATGGCGATACAATTGCTGTCGATTCTATAAGACTGTAGCAGTGTATATAAATTGTTTCCAAGAATCACCAGAATTTATAGTATAGATGCACACACTGGGGCAGCACATAACCAGACTTCTTTACTGAAATTTGGCTTTATGTTGGATATTTCGAAACAACCTGTCTTGTCAAATAAAAATGTCCTGTTTTAAGATAATTTCAAATAGGACTGAGTTTCATCGAATTCTGATTTCTTTTTTTACAGTTTCGGAACTCTCTTCATCTACTGATGGAAACCCTTAATGCTACAACTCCACATTACGTGCGTTGTATTAAGCCCAATGACTTCAAGTTTCCATTCACGTAAGTCGGGATTCAAAAATGGTCTCTGAGAACTTAATAAACATCATTCAGCAGTAGAATAGTGCATCATGAAAACATTGGGATACACATAATTATAGGATATAATAGAGAGAAAATTGCTAGGAGACAGCTTTGTATTTCTCCTTTATGCTGTCTGACGATTCCCACTTTTTCATGATTTTCCATTTTGAATTTGAGTCAAAGCTTGCACTTACAAACAATTTGTGCTAATGACAGCTTCTTTGATTGAAATCTAATTATTCACATTCTTAATGTTGTCACCATTCTAAAATTAGGCTAGTCTACACCGTGTGGAGAAGGTCATCTTAAGGTACGCAACTCGAGCTACATTATTTACGTGGTCAGAGTTGACGTACCTTAAGCCAAGCTTTCTGTCTCCACAGTGGGAGGTTGATGGGAGAAAGGCTCCCGTCAACTTCCATTGCTCCTTGTGGCAGTGAGGAGTACTGACGCCAATGGGGACACTCTGCATTCAATTTAGCAGGTCTTTACTAGACCCGCTAAATGGAACCCCAGAAGCTCTATTGCCACAGTGTCGATTCTCTGGTAAATGGAGATGTGGCCTTATATTCTCATTTAAAATTTGCCTACACCTTTGCTTAGAAAGTCAGCCATTTGACATATTTGGTTTTCTTACGTAGGTTTGATGAAAAGCGGGCAGTTCAGCAGCTCAGAGCTTGTGGAGTTCTGGAAACTATCCGGATCAGTGCAGCTGGCTTCCCCTCACGGTAGGGGGGGGATTTGGTTTTTGGATTGTTATTAGAAGAGGCATTTTCATTGAGAAAGGTTTCAATTGTACAGTTAACACCCTTCCTGTTTCTTCGTACAGGTGGACCTATCAGGAATTCTTCAGCCGCTACCGTGTCTTAATGAAGCAAAAAGATGTCCTTAGTGACAGAAAACAGACCTGCAAAAATGTGTTGGAGAAGTTGATTTTGGTAGTAGAATTGTTGCTTTTTAAATCTATAAATATTAATTGGAATCCTGAACTACACTGATAGTTTTTAAAAATGTGTTGCTTCTCCCATACAAATTTGAAAATAGTAAAATATTACTATTAGGTGATAGTATTTTCATACAGAAGCCAGCACTAATATAGGGAAATCATAGTCTCTCCTAAGTGTTATATTGTTTGCTGGTTGGGTGATGTTCGCCCTTTTTTTGTTGTTGTTCAAGTTTTAGAACCAGGGTTCTCCAGCTTCATTGCACCATGACGCCCTTCTGACAACAAGAACCACTTATGTCCCCAAGAGGAGGAATGGAAGCCTGAGCCCATCCGAGCCCCAAGTGAGGGGGCCAAAGTCTGAATCAAAGCAAAAGGGCTTCAGCTCCAGGCTGTGGGCTTATGACCTGAGTCCTGCCACTTAGGGCTGAAGGTCTCGGGCTTCCACTCTAGGCCTCAGCAAATCTAAGCCAACCCTGGCAACCCCATTCACAAGGCTTCCACTCCAGGCCTCAGCAAATCTAAGCCAACCCTGGCGACCCCATTCACTCATAGTTAGAGAATTTCTGCTTTAGAAGCATTGGGTCTTGGCTGCTATTAAGGATCAACAATTCAAATAAAAATGGGATTTTGCCTCAATGAGTGCAAATCACTCCGGTGTTGCTGTGTGGGATTAAGTTTGATTCTCCAATACAGCAGAAGCTAGAAAGATAAGATTTGCAGCCTGGTGAATGGAGGGAGTGCCTCACTTACTTTAATAGTAAATTGTATTAACTTTGAAGGTATAATTGTCCTGCGAGCTCCAATATAGAGGAGTCTCGCTTTGCTGTTCCAAGCAAAAACCCATCCACCTCCTTTACAATTTTCATGTACATAATGTTACAAGGAACAAGGGAGAAAAGTTGTTCTCCTTAACCTCTGAGGATAGGATAAGAAGCAATGATGGGCTTAAATTGCAGCAAGGTTGCTTCAGATTGGACATTAGGAAAAACTTCCTAATTAAGTACTGGAATAAATTGCCTAGGAAGGCTGTGGAATCTCCATCATTGGAGATTTTGAAGAAGAGGTTAGACAAACACCTGTCTAGATAATCTAGATCAAGGGTGAGCAAAATGCCACCCGCCAAACGTTTTCCTCTGAGCTGCTTAGTCCTGTAGTGCAGTGGGGTGATCAGGCAGGCTGCCTGCCTGCTGCGGCCCCAGCCACACTGCTCCCGGAAACAGCTAGCTGCTGTTAGCAAGCGTGTCTCTTCATGCCCCTTGGTAGGAGGGAGGCAGTGAATCTCCACCTGCTGCCTCTGCCCTAGCATCACCCTCCCAACTTCTATTGGCCAGAAACTGGCCAATGAGAGTTGCAGGGGTGGTGCTTTTTGGTGCAGGCTGCATGCAGAAACTTGCAGATACTTGCTGCTCCCAAGAGGCATGCAGACGTATTTCCCCAGCTGCAGCCCACTTTGAGTGGCGTGGGGCTACCTATGGTAAGCACCTCCTGTCCAGGGCCAAAGTCTGCACTCCTTGGCTCAGCTCAGAACCGCCCCCTGGACCTAAGCTTCCTTCCAGACTCTGCATCCCTTCTGCACCACTGCCCCAAGCCACAGCCCCGCTTCTGCACCCAAACTCTCCCGCTCCAGTAAGGTAATAGGAAAATGCAACCCATGATCATTTTAAACATTCTTTGAATGGCCTCCCTGTGAAAATTATTGCCCACTTCCAGTCTAGATAATACTTAGTCTTGCCTTGAGGGTAGAAGGCTGGACTAGATCAACGGTGCACAACCCGTGGGTCGCAGCACTTGGATCCGAATGGCTGCTTTTCCTAGCTTCTCAGCTCAGTGTTTGACGCACATGGGGCGGGGGCAGTGGCAGGAGAGCAGCCGCAGCCCAACAATTAAGGGGGAGGGGGCGTGAATGAAAAAAGGTTGCATACCACTGGACTAGATGACCTCTCAAGTTCCCTTCCACTCTTGTTCTATGATTCCTTAATTCCTTAGCACTGTGAGACTTGGCCACTGTCCTACTACCTCCCAGCTGTTTCCCTGCCCATGCCTTCCTACACAGAGATGCTCTGTGCAAATGCCTCTTGCATACTGGGAGTTTCCAACCTAGGGGAACTGTGGTGAAAATAAGCAACAGGAGGAGGAGACTTTCTGGTACAGGAAAGACAGAACTAAGAATAGTGACCCAGCATTTGCTCCCAAGGGTGAGCAGCTCCGCCTCCTCTAGCACAGTACTGACTGCTGGTTCCCCTTCCTTAACATTTAAGAATCAACTGTTGTGTAAGTCACCTGGGTATAAAGCCAACAAAATCATTGGAGTTAGGCAAGACATTACAGTGGTTCCTCGGGAGTAACCAGTATACTAAGGGTTAATGCGCAGCACAGAAAGGCTCCAAAAAAGGATCCCATTTACTTCTCGACCATGAGGTGGTTAATTATGGCTCAGTGCAGGGTATAACTGAGGAAGAGTAAAACACTTGTACTATGTAATGTAGCTTAAGACTGACTGCTGAGGAAGGTCAGATATCAGTTTAAAAGTAGTTATTTTAATTCTCATTTCAAATACTGACTTTTAAACAAAGGCCTTTGGATTTGGCTTATGTATTAGTGTTTATTACAAATATTTGGAAAATGGATAAACTCATTTTAAAAATTAATTTTCTAGTTTTATGGATAAATACTGAGTTTAATATTGAGGGCTGGGAGGACAGAAGAAAGTAACAAATAGAGAAAGTTAAGAGTATTAAAAGTTAAAAGCAATGGGTTCTTAAGTTGTGGTTTATTTTGAAAGCTGTACATTAATTGTATTACACATACCTGCGTATGTGTATATGTTGTGTATTCCAAATTACCTTTAGTCTCATAGGCCTGGTCTACACTAGGAGATAAGTTTGAATCAAGATATGCACCTTCAGCTATGTTAATTGCATAGCTTATGTTGAAGTATCTTACCTTAAATTTTGGCTCTGTCCACACTGTGGGAAGTTGAAGGGAGCATACTCCTCGTAGAATCAGGACTACCGGTACCGGCGCGAGTGCTTGCTCAGTTCAGTTTAGTGTGTCTTCACTAGACCCTCTAATTCGAACCCTGGAAGATTGATTGTGATGGCTTCAATCTTATCTGTAGTGTAGACATGGCCACATTTACTCGTAGACTAACTTATTAACATACCAGTCTCTCTAATGTATTGATTTTTCTCAATATAATCAGTATTTTCATGTACCTGAGTGGTCCAAAGTTTGGGTAAAAATCAGTTTTTTGAAAAGAGAAAATATTAGCTTTTGTTAAACCTAGGGATTTTTCAATAAAAACCAAAAGCACCTTAAATATAAGCCATGTTTGGCAGAAGAAATATCAGTCTTCGGTTCTTTGAAACATTTAAAAAAATAACTTTTTTTCTGGTTCAGATAATATCTCATGATAGAGAAAAGTTATAATCAACCCTCACGTTGCTTAAGATTCCACCACTTTCCTAATCCTGTTAACTCCAAAAAATTTATGCACAGAACATAATAGAGGTAAAAAAAATCCTGCTTCCTTAGTTAATGTAGGTACAGATTTAGCTGAAATACTAAATGGTGAGTTTTATCTCTTTACTGAGTCTGCTTTACACAGAAAAAGCCTTTGTGTGTTCACTGACAGCTTTTGTGTCTTTTTTTTTTTTTAATCCACTGTTGTTTAATTCTGTTACTGATCATATATTTCCTCTGAAAATAGGACCAGGATAAGTATCAGTTTGGTAAAACAAAAATATTTTTTCGGGCTGGTCAAGTAGCCTATCTGGAAAAAATAAGAGCAGATAAGCTGAGAGCTGCTTGCATCCGCATCCAGAAGACGATCCGAGGATGGCTGATGCGGAAGAAGTACCTGCGCATGAGGAAAGCAGCCATCACCATTCAGAGATATGTCCGAGGGTACCAGGCTCGATGGTAAGTAGAAACTTGAAGAAACTTGCTCTTATGTCAGTTCACATTCCTTTAACTAGGTCATTTAACTGTGAGAGCATCTTCTGTCTCCTTCCTGTGCTGATCAGCAGGACTGACTTTTTCAGTGTAGTGAAGAAAGTGAACAAGAATGTGCATTTTTATAAGAGCAGTACCTGCTTGTTTTGACCTCCAGAAAGAAGTAGCTATTTCCCAGCTGGCTAACACCTCACAGCAGCCTATGTTTGTTGAAGTAGAGGAAAAGTAGAGTGAGGAGGACAGCCCGTAGGTGGGGTGAGGCAGGACTTTTGCTTAGACTAAATCCTGACTTGCCCTCTTCCTGCCATGACACGTTGTTAACTTCCCACTGCCCTCAACTTCCACTGCCCTTCTAATGTGTTCTCTCTCTCTCCACTAGTGGAGAACCTACCCCTTCAGTCCAGGATGCAGCAAAGAAGAGAGAGGCTATCTGGGAGCAAATGGCAGATGTGGGTAGGGAGGGAACCAGCTGGAGCAGAGAAGCAGGCAGATAGCAGAGGTGAGGTGGGAGTGAAAAGGAAAGGAATGAAGTTGGGATGCTGGAGGAATAAGAATTGAGGATGGACCTGTTTCTGTTGGGGAATGAATTAGGGAAGGCTTATTGATGGAAGCCGCTTTAAAAAATGAGGGAAGATGATCAGAAAATGAGAAGAGTGGATCAGTTTCCCAGTGCAATTTTCTGAAGGTGAGTAAACACTACATAAGGCTCTAAGGGTTAATTTTTTTAATTTTTCCCGTGCTGCTGTGTAGTTATAGTAGTAAACAAACACTTTACCATTGTCGGTACTGTAGGTAATCTAGAGCAGAATATGTAGAAAACATAGCTCTTAAGAAACAGGATAAAGTCAGAAGACTGGGAAAATGTTATTTGGGGGTTATAAATAATGCATGTAAATTCCATTTCCACCATTTTTCTTTGTCAGCTATGCCATGTTCTTGAGAAGAACCAGGGCTGCCATCATAATTCAGAAGTTCCAGCGCATGTGTGTGGTTCGCAAAAGATACCGTCTCATGCAAGCTGCCACTGTTATGCTTCAGTCACTTTTACGAGGGTACATGGCCAGGAACCAATACCAAAGGGTAAGAAGACCCAGAGTTTCACTATTGCTGTATTTCCAGGCACCTCCAGACTAACCCCTACTGTAGTGTTTCCATGGTATTCTTAAATGTTTGTTTACAAATTGTCATACCTTAGTGCACACACTCTGTGCCACTGCATACACTCAAAGTATCTGCAATAAGGATGTAAAATCCTGTTTAATTGGTTTACCGGTTAAACATATTGTTTAACCAATTAACCAATTAAAGGAGGTGACCATTCCAGCTGAGCTGGGCAGGAGTGGCCCTGCCCCTTCCTGTGGGGCACCTGGACCCACCATGGACAGAGACTTCTCCAGGCCAGCTGGAGAAGCCCCTTTCTGCAGGGCACCAGGCCTGCCATTGACAGAGGCTGCTCTGCACACTGGACCAGTGCCCTACCCATGATGGGTCGGGAATTGCTTTATCCCCCACTAGTTAACCAGAACCAGTGAGCCTCACCGGTTAATCTTTCACACCTCTAACCTGCAAATATGAATAATAGGCTACAATGATCACACAACCAGTCATTATGAGTCCAGCTTAATTTTGCATGCACACATGGGCCCCGTGATTTAGTAGCTCTTCTTAATTTATCATTTATGATTCTATCAAACTCGAAAAGATAATTCAGGATGCTAATTTTGATGTTAGTGATCCGTTCTCTGATAGACTATAAGATTAAAGCCTTAGTTTTCTTTTCTTCTTCCCCTTTTTTCATTTATTTGTCCTGGTCTCAGTTGTGTGGGAGGGTGACCGAATTTTGTCCTAATTATGATGATATGTTTAATGGCAAATTAACTGCCCTCATTTTAGAAATTAGGCTTTGCTTTTAAACAGAGGGCTGGAAGCAGAATTATTATTACAGTGGCATTTTATGAGTTAGACAACATTTTGCACAGCAGTTCTACCCATAAAGATTGTTTTGCGTTGAATTTTTTGAAGGTCAGCTCATCATTTACTGAAAAGTTTCCTACAGAGTTGAACTTATTCTCAAGTTAGTAGATGTAAATGGTATAACACAAAACTCTACCAGTGCTTGTGTTTGAAATGCTTGCCTTATATTGATCAAAAGAATTGGGCTGTAGAAATTTCTTGACATTTTTAGATCTGTACTAAAGAGAAAATGTATGAGGGAGCATACGTATTTGTGTGCAAATGTAGACACCCATACACACACACACACACACACACACACACACACACAGCATATCCATCTAATATAGGAGAGAGCAATAATTTTGGGGGCTACTTCACAAATTTCTGAATTGCCCCCAGGCTGCCCCGGAAGGGCCAGAAGATTTCCTTTGCTCCCCTGCCCACAGATCCTGATTGGTGTGGAGTGGGGGAGCATGTGAAGTCTGCTCCCCGCCACCGTGATGCCTAGAGAGAACTGCCAGCTGTTTTGAACAGCTAGCAGTTCCCTCTAGACACCGCATGCCCTTGACGGTGGGAGGAGCCTTTGCGTGCGTGCTTCCCCTACCCCCAGGCCAATTAGGGTCCGGGGGCAGGCGAGCACATGAAGTCTTTGCCCTGCACCCCCACCCTGCAACGGGTGTGCAATACCTAGAGAGAGCCACCAGCTGTTTTCAACAGCTGGAGGTTCTCTATGGTGCTGTGTGCCTCTGTTGGGGGAGGAGACGTCGAGCACTCCCCCGTCCCCAGGTCTCAATTGGCCGGGGGTGGAGGAGCGGCAGGGATGCTGTGGGCCGGATCAACCAGCTTAGTGGGCTGGATCCAGCCCGCGGAGGCTGTCTTGCCCACTTCTGATCTAACATAACATTAATGTGAAGGTTGTGAAAATAGCCAGAAATGCCAGGAAAGTAAGATTTCTCCCACTGCACTCAGCCATGTTACACGTCTTATTTGCTTTATCGTGAACCTTGTTTTATTTGTACCTATTTGTTTCTGCTAGCATTCTGAGCACTGTAATCCAGGTTTTTTACCACCAGCATATATAAGAATATTAAAACATTAAGCCTTTTAATAGCTTGATAGATATTTTTCAACTATACGTTAACTTCAGAAAGTAATGAACTTCTTGATAAAACATGCACATCACATCAACATATAGGCTAAAAGCATCCCTAGGATATGCAGAACAGATAAGTCAGCCATTCTAGATCCCTGAAATTGGCTGAGTGACTGTTGTATACATTTCCTTTTCTACAGAACAGCAACATTTTATAAACCTGTCACATTCCCTTGTACTAGACATAGCAACTTAGTTCTGAAATCACCATAAGGGCCAGTCAAGCCTAACTATCTAAGGATGGTTCTGCAATTATAGTTAATTCTTCTCCTTAGTAATCACAATTAGAAATTATTTTTTATAAAATTCTGGCTTCACAGATTGAACAAATGATAAATGTAAGACAGATGCTCTGATATGAAGGAGGAATTTTATTAAATGATCCTGCAGAATGAAGCAGAGGTGTTGTTTGCAGTCCTGAGATTGTGTAGTTATCCTACTAAATTTTTAAAAACTGCGATTAATTGAAAAACTCTCCTTACAGACCATTTTGATCCACATCTGATATCTATAATGTATGACACACACGTTGCACTTTAGGAAGGGTTTTTTATATGGCTTACTTTTTTTAGGTTAGATAAGATGAAAATGGAATTGTATTTTACATATCATAGTATACCCTGGTCATGCAAAACAACATTCAAATTAGGGTTACCATGTGTCCGGTATTGGCCCGGTATTTGCGGCTTCTGTCTGGTAAAAAAAACCCAAACAAACAAACCAGAAAATACTGGACATATAAAATGTCCGGTATTTTTTGTATTTCTCGGACAGAAGGCCACTTGAGACGTTCCTCCCCTGCCTCGCATCTGGCGGAGGCGGGAGGAGCGTGAAAGCCTGAAAGTGGCATCAGACTGCAATCAGTTTTAACTCCTTAAAAACAAAAAGTATTCAGCTTGCAGAGGTTAAAAGTTTCTGTTAGTTCTACCAGTAGAATTCAATAGTTTTTAAAGCCCTAGAAGGACTACAGTCATGTTACCCGTGGGAACATCCCAGGAGCTAAACACTGATCTTGTGAGATTGCGGACCTTCTTGGAAATCACTGAAGTGTTCTTAAATCAGCTGTCCAAAAAGTAAATAGAAAATTAGTTTGAATGTGCAAGATTGCTGGTAAAACATTGATAACTTAAATTGTGAACCATTTTTCTGAAAACCTGCACTTTTAAAACATATTTTTAAAGATTGTCAAGCCATGTTTTGAAATTTTCACTCTCATTTGTTCTGTTCTGGGGCAAAATTTCTGACTGGGATAAATGGGAAGGAAAACATTTCTTAATGTTTGCAGAACTCAGAAAATCTGCACCGATTTTGTTTGATCTTTAGCCAAATAGTAAGCATGGAAAAACATTTTAAAAAATTTCTACAAGCTGGGAATAACTTATAAAAAGCAGGGGGGTGCAAATAGAAATTAGAATTCAGCTTCATAAGTTACACCAACTGCTGTAATGCAGAGGAGGTACATTTGTGTGTGTGTATATATGGAAGATTTGTGGTGAGAGTAAACAATATTTGTCCATCTGTCCATGTACCAGTGACTTCAAAGACCTCATAAGAAAGGGTATACTACATGCAAATTCTGTTCATCCCTAGAATTCCAGGGATGGATTTGTAATTTTTTCCATAAGTATTCTATAGCCCTGTGACTAACAGGGATCTTGCATCAGTATAAATGTCTCCAGTTCCTTCCTTCCATTTCTTTCCCT